TCGAGCCGTGATATAACTAGCACACCAAAAAGATCAGCGCCGAGACGAAGCACTTTTGGCACTCCTTGATTGGCTCCATCGATGGTAGGCTCGGCCGAGATGAGACTTAAAGGGAAACGGAATATACTTAGCAAAGTTCAAAATTCTATACTCGTTGTCAGATAAAAAAAAAAGCACGTTATGGGCATTCTTCATGCGCTGCGTAAGACATCTGGTTGTCTTGGTAAGAAACTTAAGTCTCTCTTAATCAGTTTAATTTTATATTCCATTACCGCTCGTGATCGGCCGCCTCGGTGGCTCCGAGGTGAGAGCGCCGGCCTACGGATCCCGATGTGGCGGGTTCGAATCCCGGCCGAGGTGCCCGCAATCTGACGGAGGCTTATTGCGGAGAAGGCGCCGTGTAACCGAGCTTTCGGTTGCACGTCGAAAGATCCCCAGGTGGGGATCTTTCGACGTGCAACCAATCTGGCACGCCTCCGCTGGGGCGTGCCAGATGCCCGCCGTTGGTTTTGCACGTAAAACGCCCAAATTTGACTTTTGACCGCTCGTTATCAAGTACAGTTAGAGTCAATTCATTTCAATTCAATGGTTATTTTCTATCGTGCTTACCAGTACCATAAAGGCCTTTTCGATAATGCACCATGCCACGATATGAGCAATCGCAAAGATACGCGTATTAAAATGTATACACCCTCCTAAATTCACGGGCATGCCTAAATTTATACTCCTACTTAAATTCACATGCATGCTTAAATTACGTATTCCAAAGCGACAGATTTGTGCAAAAACATACTAAAATTGGTAAATTCGGTGTTTAAAGCAGGCTGCTTTCGCGAAATTTGTGAAAAGTTACGTTGAATACCTCAAAAACTTTAACATTTCCAGAGCTTGTATTAACAGGAATGCGGAAGTTTAAAAGAGCAAAGAAGGGTGGGCTATCCATTGAACCAAAAATTAACTATACGCAAAAATGTTATATCTCTGCCCGAGCTTCTCTCAAAATGACTGCCTAATTTTAATTTTTCTAAAATCAAATTAGATGCACATTAGCAATTTCGACCAAAATTTCTGTCGTAGGATAGTCGTGCAAGTCGTTTTTCTGTGCGTTCAATATTTTCACTTGCTGAAATAGAGATGGAGTTCCATGCCACAGATGCACAATCAAGTCTGGTGTACACATGAGTACAATATAGTCTTAAACAACTATAATAAGTGCTAGAAGATCTAGATGAGTGAGCAATTATTCCCAGCGTGCGTAACGACTGACTAACAATGGAGTTCGTATGAGCACAAAGGAATAGGTGATCATCCACGAGAACCTCTTAATTTCGCGCTGATTCAGTTCCACTTATAGTTCCATTTTTTAGAGTATATAGGGAGTATTCACTGGCGGTCATATTCGTGTGCGCTGCTGCTGAGCGCGTGCTGACGGTGAGCTTCCGCAGTCCTTTTGGAGCGTGCATTTAGCACCATCAAGGTTGCATGTCTTAGCAGGCTATTAATGTGAGCTCGTTCTGAGCATGCGCTCTAAACATCGCCCTCAAATATGGCGTCCAGTGAATACCTCCTATACGAAAGGTAAAGTGCTACGTTTTCTCGACAAAGACATAACTTAGGTTTTGCGGGGGTTTGAAATTAGGTTGTTATTGACACTCACCATTCTTGTACTGTAGAAACATAGTCCTGCAGCAAACTGCAGTCGGTGATAGATTTCACCTCCTGAAAGAGCTTAACATCATCTGCAGACATCAGTACCTGGGATTATTTCATGGACAACAACGGGTCGTTTATAAAAATGATAAACAAAAGGGACCAAGGTTTTAGCCCTGAGGCCGCTCTGACGAAAGCATAAAAGGGCGTGCGTATAACTCGCGAACCAGGCTATGTACTCAGAACTAAGACCGTAATTCTCAAATTTTAGAAATAGCAGTTTGCGATTGACTCTGTCAAAGGCATTTTACATATTTAAATATGATACGGAATCTACCTGACCCTGACTAGGAACATCTGGCATATAATAATTAAAAAGTGTGCACATATTTTCTCAACAGATCTGCTGTGAGGAAACCCTGCTGCCCCAGAGGCTACCTTTATTTTAAAACAACTTTACAAGCGACCGTGCTCTCAACCCCTTTTAATAATGCAATTAAATAGATGCGGGACGATAAATACTAACATCACAAGAATTATTAGACATAGAAATCGTATTAACATTGAATGTTTTGCAGTTTTCAGGAAGGACAGAATTTCGTAGCGACAAGGTAAACAATTTGACAAGAACAGGAGCAAACCTTTCGCTGCAGCCCTTTATAAAAAAAATTAGGGATACCGTCAGAACCTGTAGATAAATTCGAATTCAGTTTCGCGATAGCCACAACCATCTGCCTAAACATGACGTCCGTAAACGGCGAACAGTCATTGGATTTAACTTTCCACGTCAAAGGCGAAGTGGGGTTTGCATTAGAAAACATAAGCTCAAATGATCTGAAAAGACTACACAGACGGACTCTGGAGATGCATGAATCTGGAACCTATTGCGTAGAGGTAATCTTTGACGCCTTCTTAGTGTGTGTTTTTGTTGTGGTTGTTGTTGTTTTCTTACAAAGCGCCAGAACTCTTTACGTCGCTTATTCAGACTAAGCTCCACCTGCCGACGGCACGCGTACTAGTCACTTGCGTGAAACATTTTGGTTCCGCCACATTGATCATACAAACATTGTCTACAGATATGTTCGCAGGACACATATGCTCGCGTGAAGCTTCTTTGTTCTTGCCAATTAGCCCCGATGAATTGTTTGGTTACGCCAACCCGTAGGCCACTTTGTTCTAAAAGTAGAATAGCTCCCCGTAGAGAAATTCCACGTGCTCGACTACAAGACCTACTTTTCGCAACCCTAACCTCGTGTTTTTAATCCCCGTTCGTCTGCTTTGCATTTCGGCTACCAGGCCATGCCAGACTTTGCGCCCCCCAGCCGCTGCCACACTGCTAGTACTACATCATACCGCGGAGGTAGGAAGCTTTGGGAATGAACATGAAGCCACCAGAAGCTTCCTTTCTCCATTAGTGTATATTTGTGCCTTTTTTTTATTTTTTATTTTTTTTTTTATTTTGGGTTATGAAAAGCATGTGGCCCTCAATGTTCAAGACTGCCGCTTGTGTAGTTGTTTGAGTAGAGCCATTGTATTCCATGTGTTTTTCAGATATTTCTATAATCACTGTTTTTATTTGTTTCTATGACAATGGCTGGTCTTGTTATGTATTCATGCTGTGACTTATTTCTAATGTAATTTCTGCTGTATGAACGAAAGGGGGCGGAGGTGCTCTCAGGCGCCACGCCTTTATCTCTGCCCCTCTGCCAATAAATAAAATCCGCAAAAAAAAAAACAAATAAAAAACGTGTTTTTTTTTTTTGCATGACGGTTCCGCCACATTGATTATACAAACATTGTCTGCAGACATAATCGCAAGACATATATGCATCCAGCAAACATGTTTCCAACACTCCTGAGGCCTGTCCGCAGATAATTTTGTCGGAATGTCTGAAGCGAAAACCTTTTTTTTTTATGTATATGAGGAGAGTGAATGCAACCCCACTTGGATGCAGGTAGCTCCCTGCTTTCTTTATTTTATGACTTTTCGCAGGGAGGCATAGCCTTTTGTGGAGTTACAAATACATCGGTTCACAAGTCAGATCGGATCAGGCGCTACGCCGCCGATAAGGCCAATCCAGCAATGCCAAGGACACAGCGTCACGAAGGTCTTTACGTGCACATAAATTTGTGAGTCCTTGTCTGCGTGCTTTCTTAGGCTCCCGCCTTTGTAGGGTTACATTGTTTCTGAAAAATGGGCAAAAGCTGCTTTGATCTTAAGAAGTAGCTGCCATTCGGAGAAAACCTGAAGAGGAGGAGAGGATAAGATCCCATAGAGAAGTCAAGGCATTAAGCTTTGATTGAAAGGATGGACGCTTTACTGTTTACAAACATGAACCTTTGCTTGCGTCCCAAGTGACTTGCGGTCTTTCCGTGTTTGCAAGCCTTTCGAGCTTGCTTATGTCACCAGTGTTAGAAAGCATAAATGCTACAGGGAAAACTATGTTGGAGATTTAGCGAGGGCGCACTATAGTTAATGTCTTGGAGGAGACATGTTGGTTTACAAGAATGTCCGAAAATTGTGAGCAGCTCTCGCTCTTGTTGGTTCTGTTGGCGTTCACCTGGTGCATTTGTGGTTCAATACTCATTGATTTTTCAACCAGCGGCATTAGGGAGGGGGGCTTTGATCATCCTTTTTATGAACCGGAAGTTCGCTGGGACATCAAAGACTGGAGCACCACCTGGTGGCACTTGCAAAGAATCTAGTCACTGTTCAATCGTGTTCGAACGCAGAACGCCGGCGCCTGGTAGGAACAAAGGTAGCTAACCTTTGCGCTTAACCATTATCCTTCCAATCAAAGCTCGGCACTCTCACGTCTCCACCCGATCTCATCTCCTCCTCTCACTCAGTTCCTCACAGTATAGCATTCCTCGGAAAAGTCTTTTCGAGTCGCTCAAAGGTCTGCGTGAGCCTCCTTTCGACAACTTGCCGCTAAAATTTGCCAACACAGAGTTAATTCCTGTGTGCGCACCACGCCCTAGTATTTTAGTAGCAGTTTTACGGGTTCATCATTTTTTTGATGTCCGTGAACGTCTTCATTATAATATTTTTTCCCCGTTGCCAGTAATTTCTGATTTACGCTCAAACATGGATGGCATATCGATCACGAGCGCACCTGTTCAAAGAAAATGGCCGCGGTTATTTCGACCAAAGCGCGAATTCGTAACTTATTAGACACTGATTGAGAATTTGGAGGATTTGGAACTTTGCGTTTCTAAGGTTCGGTACTGTATTCCCGCTATGAAACCTTCGAGGAAAGACATGTTGCATTCCTGACTCGTTTTATTTGGTGAAGTCTTCTGCAGTCCGAGTTAATCTATGAAACTCTCCGCTGATTGGGGATGTTGAATCCGGCGTGGTGCATGGCCTGTACATCATATTTGAACGGTCGAGTGATCCGCTATCCAAGGGAGAAACGAAGACACTTCCATGTACACTCCAGGGTACTTGCGGTTAGTGCATTCCACTCCCCAAGCAATGATGCCAACCAGCACATAATTCCCTCTCTTGTACTGCACGACAGGACCACCCGAGTCGTTCTGAAAACAACACCGGATAGACAGACAGCGTCATTCGCTAAGAAGGAAAAACTTTGTCGGCATTTAGCCCTATCCACTGTTGCAGGTTAAGAAGCCCCCCACTCCCCACGAAGCTCTCCACTTTTTTCACTTTATCGAGCGAGTCTTGGAGAGGGAGGCGAGTGCACACGCCTCCTCTTTCCACCTTTTTACAGCTTTCACACGCTAAAGTGGAAAGAGTGAAGGAATTCGCGAGAGGAACTTGTCCCGTTTTTCTTCATCTGCAACAGGGTAAATAAAGTCAAAGACAACTTAAGAAATTCAGGATGTGACGAGTCTGCCTGATAATCACTTTGCAGCCATTGCGACTCCGGCCTTCGGCGATAAAAACGCCGAAAAAAAAGAAAAATGTGAAACTTATATAAGCCACGCCCGGCGCCTCTGAAAATGTCAGCGACTATGACTGTTCATGAAATACTTCACTCGTTCCGAATGTTTGTTTCTTTAAAGCAAATATATTTAAAAGGTGAGAATCGGCGCTAATTTTTGTGACTTTACAAAAATGTGGACTAAATTAAAAAGGTCGGGTAGAAATTATTTTCGGATGCGTCTCTTTACATATCAAGTACACAGCTCGTTTTTTTTTTTCTTCTATAATATTTTTTACACTCTAGCGCCCAGCGTAGACAGGCCGAGGTGCTCCCTTTTCTACGTTTTTCGCAGTCATAAACTTCAATTAGCACCTGCCTCGGCTGCTTCGTTTCCCTCACCTGGGTTGGTGCGTGGTTGGTTGGAGGTTCGTTGATTCCAACAAATCTTTTAGTTGGGTGATCGGTTTACCCAGTTAATTTGAATATCTTAGAACAAAAATTGCTGCAGAAACCACTATTGTTGGTTGTCTATGAATCGCGATAGCATATTCGTCTAGGACAACCTCAAGGGCGACGTCAAGGGCGACGCCAAGGACGACGGTCAAGGACGACGTAAAGGTCGCCAGATCCTTCGAAGGGGGTGCGAATGTGAAGGTGAGAAAGTGACCTGGAATGGTCTACTGCGCATACCTACTGCGTATTAGGAGACCAGGGGGGGGGCTATGCAAGATGGCGGGACGGAGGGACCGGGACTTAAACGCCTGCTGCGATTGGTCAGCTTCATGCCGCTGACGAATACAGTGGACGGTGATGTCCCTGTCCGTCCCTGTCCGTCCCTTCGTCCCGCCGTCTTGCATAGCCCCCCAGGAAGTCCAGGAAATCCGCAGGGGGAGTACATACTTCGTCTCACCCTACGATGGACTAAAGGCAAAAGCTACGGACCACCAGATCCAATCACGAGCCACTTAGAAATTGCGCGGTATTTGGCTTCGATGCACGTATCGGTGCCCGCGTCTCGCACCACTGATGAGGGGACGGTTGGACAGTGGTTCGAATCGAAGAGCACTGAGTGACTCAACAATTTTACATCGTAAAGAAAGCCACGACACATAAGCTCTTTGCAGCGGTGAAGCCATAGAAATGATGCGGCGCCTTTGAATTCGAGCATTATTCGTCCAGCTCTAATCAATGTTAAGCGTGTCATAGTACAGTGTGGAACGTGATTGGATCTGGCGGCCCGTGGCTTTGGCCTCTAGTCCATCGTAGGATGAGACAAAGTATAGAACTCTCTCCATCAAAACTACATTCGCGTGAGACTGCAACTCTCACCGCCAGGAATCCAGCACAGTCGGTAGTCTTTCTTCACCTGGCACAAAGCTCAAGAAAAACAATCGACGAAACAATTTTGGATACTCGTAAAGCTTCCACTGCTTTTCCGCAGAGACACAGAAAACCAGCCCCTCGATTGACGGAGGGAAATTAGCTAACAGACCATTCCGCACATACCGTACTTACTTAAGTAATAGCCGCACTGTTTATGAAGAAAGCCTGCGGTTCGCTTTTCCGCGGAGCACGAAGCTTGCCAATCACCGGGATCGACAGCATGATTTCATCGGTTTACAGGACAGAGATAACGTCTTCGGGCGAAGATATCATCAGTGAAGGTTGTATTTGTATGGAGAAGCGTGTTCTCGATCTGGTTATTCGCCATGTGATTTATGCGCAGCGCAATGATTGGCTGTATATCTGCTCTGCGGGAAAGTAGACGCAAGGGCCTTGTTTTAAAAAGAAGTGCGGCTATTTCTCGCGCAAACACGGTACCCAGCGCCTCCCATCGTCTTTTAGGTACACTACGGCTATCCGATGTACGGAGAGTGGAAAATTAGCCGTAAATAGGTGGAGCGGGTCATGTTTGTTTACCGTTTCGCAATTTCAGAACGCAAAGAAAGCTGGACGATAATAAAACATGATGCGTATCGGCTTTCTCATGTGTTCGCTCTATTTTCGTTGTCTTCTGAATTCACAGTGGTAAGAGAGAATTAGTTAAGTCACTTCCAGGACGTTCGGAGCGTTGAACTGGACCCGAGCGTACACCTGAACGGCCCCACAATTCCCGCACTGCGAGGTGCAATGTGGGATTGACGAGATGCCTCGTGGGATTTTCTGGAAAATTCTATTGACAAGACTGGAAGAAACGTGCTTGGAGCTGAAATGAAGACCGACTTCTGAGCATTGCGTAAGTACGTGAAACATCACGTTATATCCCCAACTGTAATTTTTCTCCCCCACCTTTTTTTTTTCTTTCTGCTACAAGTATTTTTGGGGGGGATCTCCCTACGTAGATGGCAATGATTGAATCGTCTACTACTTAGAGCGAATGTAGGTGCACTCGCCTTTTTACAGTGGACATACTCTAAAATATCCTGCCAGTTCACTTTCCCGCCCTATAGAAGACAGCCGATCACGGCGAGCGATAGAAGAATCCCAGCGAATGACAAAGCTTAGAATACAATTAGAATATAAAGGGTGGAGGGGAGGGGGGGTGCAATGTGCGTGGGGAAGGTGAACAAAATGAAATGTAGTGCTCAATGTGCCCATAATATTTTTTTTTTTGTAAGCTTACGTTTAGCTCTGCCATTCGCTGAGCTTCTTCTATTGATTGTCGTGATTGGCTGCCCCCTTATTCTGCGGTAAAGGTAGCTCAGATAATTTTGTTTAGAGCGTATACACTGACAGATTAAGAAGCGCAGGGCATGATTTTTATGCCCTCGCGCTTTTTAGCTCATGATTCTTCTGTCAACGTTCGTATCGGTCGATGTCGCAACATAGTAAGTTGCGGAGCAATGATTAGGTGTTGGTGTCTCGCCACGTCCTGAGCTTCTTACGTGTCAATGACTACATTCGTGTAGGATCCTAACTGACGTCAGCCCCACGTGCAGATTGCTTGATGTTGCAATGCAGTCCAAGGTACGGGAACACGTGCCGTCTTCCAGATTGAGCACCGGTTAAAGCTGCGCGCACACTCTCCTCCTCTTATCGGAAATGCCACAGAAAGTTGTCTACGACTACAGTGATTCTCCGCTAAGTGGTACCACGTTTTGCTAATGCTAAACTGAAGGTTCTTTTTTTTTTTTTTTTTTTCTTTTGCACTCGTTACGCCTTTAGTTGTTCATTATAGAAAGAACTCTCGAAACATGTCTTTTTTTCTTTTTAATGGCCGACATTTATGCATTAATGAAAGGGCTTTTGGCAGGTTCCATTTTCAATGTTCATGCGTAGCGCGCGTGATTTGCTCGCTTTCCGAAGCGGCGACCATGCGAGTGCTGGGCTGAGGAGATCGGGCGCTGCGCTGAGGACTCGTAAATATTGGAATGGTGCACATTGGATCAAGTTCTGATAGACGTTCGCTAAATTATTAAAGCACCAAGGAGAATGTTGGGACCATAAATACACGCGCTGCACACGCTCGATCTCTCTGTACAAAAGAATTCGAAATGAATACATAAAATAAGGCGTTGTGGAACGCAGGCACCTGTTCCAGATTTGTGCTTTCCACCGGTTCCTGCTGTACATGCCAGCATGTACAGCGCGTGTAGATAGCGCCTGTTCGGTTGTCTTCGTGTTGTCTTTTTTCTCGTTTTGCTGGCGTTTTTAAACATTATAAATAATAAAGACCAAATAGCCCAAACCCGCATTTTAATGCGAATTCGTTCCCAGAATTACCTGTGGTACCTGGATAATGCGGCGAATTGTCTATTAATGGCTTTCCCTTTCCCTCTCCTCCTTTCTCTTTCCAGAATTAGTGGTATTTTGCAAATTTCCGAACCTTCAAACGAGGCTGTAATTCAACAATTCAGTAAAGTGAGAGACACACGCGCGATTCGCCCGATCCGACGTGCGAACCATCGGAGAAATGGCTGCTCCGACTCGCCGCACACGACAGTTCGAGACACATGCTTTCGACGCGACGTTCCGTTCGGCTCTGCCCAGCTCCGGGTATCCTACTATCGGATAAATATCTGAAAGATAATGGTTGCATTTGTAACGGGTGGTCGCACGCGCCACCTAGCCTTGAAACCATAAATATTAATCCTCCTCTCGCCTTTTTTTTTTGTTGTTTTTCTCACTTTAAAACAAACAAAATGTTTTATTACATTTTAATAAAGGATTTAAAAATTTTACGCAAACTTACTTTTTTTTTGCTCAACATCACTTACTTACGATGAACCGCAGTGGACCTCAAGAGCCATACTAGCGAAGCGAGCACTGCGTACAAATCACGTGACTACGCACCCCGTGCATTGTTGCGTCTCTCCCAAAGTTAACGCAACAATCACATGGCACTGGAATGGCTTGTACAGCGTCTGCTGGTGTCCATCGTAATTTAAAGCGAAGTACATTTGGGGGATCGATGGTCTTGATCGGTCCCAGGGCGAGGAGATTGAACTATACACCAACTCATGTTTACAAACCAACCGGAGCGCCCCTAGCGCACGCCACCGGCGCCGCGCGTGCGCGATGGGGGTGTGGGCAACAAGCTCGCCGTCGCCCAGAAACAAACCATTGAAATGCGATGTTGTCGGCGTCGGTGTGAGTCCCCCTGCTCTTTTTCGCGTTCGAATTGTTGATTCTACGTCTTCCTGGCCATGTCCGACTAGTTGAGCGGCGTCAGCGAAATTACCGAGGCTCGCTACACCGCGAAACTTCGCGTGATTAATGTGACATGTGGCGATTCATTCCGCGTGGACGCCGCAGTATGTACGCTGAAAACTAATTTGCATGATGAGATTTCGCTCGCAATTTTCAGTCGCGACGCCGCTCGGGCTGCAAAAGCGTGAACGGTAGCTGAGATGGTCGACGTCGATACTAAAAATCGCAAGCAGAATCGGACCAAGTCAGTTAGGCATAGCAAGTCAGTGATGGTCAGTGAAAACAATGATCAACATCTCCTTGTATTACTTTTTACATCGAGCCTGCTTACCAACCTTTGAACTTAAGTCTTTTGAGGCCTGCGCTTACTTCTTAGCGCAAGTACCGGGCCCATATTTGGAACGGGCCGGCGTCGTCTAAGAGAGCAGACGACAAGCAGAAACGTTTGAAAGAGCAGACGACAGTTCGAACAATCAGGCGGCTGTTTGAACTTGAAGACGTACTGAACGTAGTCCGTAGGTGGTCCACACAACTTGATAGTTTTCTGGCGTTCATGCTAACAAAACAAATAAATCTAATGACCACAATATGCGTGAATTTAACTGAAAGTGGTTCCCGCCCAACCAATCGTTGTCCGACGGCGTCTGCTTTTCCCTTTTCACGGCACATATCCAGATTTTCGGACGAACCGAGCACGTGAAAACTGACCTTCAAACGTTTCTCGTCTCTTTTGGTACGGCCCCAGTCCCGGCGTTTTGACGAGAAGGCAGGTTTTTGGCTAGTTCCCTTCAAAACAACGCAGGAATACACGTCTGGCATGGGGATTTCTGCCCACAGCCCCAGACCGGAAGTGCGACCGACGCGCCACCACCGCGCCGTGACGTCACAGAGATGAGTTGGTGTATAGGGGGAGCTCTGACCCGTTTCTTGTCCCCACACCTCGGTGTATACCCAACGCAAGGCCTGTGGACATGCCTACAGGCAGCGGCGTAGACTTTCCATTTTCCCGAGGAAGGGGGGGGGGGGGGGGGGGGGGGCTTTTTCGCGCAATTTTTTTTACACCGGCAATTACAGCAGTTTATTTTAGGAGGTAAATTTTACAGCGTATGTATATCTTCTTCTGCTATCATTGTAACAGCAGTGCTCTTGGTCCATTACTTTTTCTAATTTTTATTAACGACTTGCCAACTAATATTTTCTCACGCATGCGGTCCTTCGCGGCCGACTGAATCATCTATCGCTTCATTGGGCGTGTTAAGTTGTGACTCCACGACTCCGGTTCGGGTAACTCAGTCGGAGTCGCTACTAAACGTACTTTTGGAACAGCTCCGTATGTAGAAAGCCCCCTCTATATGAACAACTGGTTGTTTTATTGATTTTTTTTTTTTTCCAATGGGACATCGCAAAAGGGCAGGCTGCTGTGGAAGCAGACCAAGGGGACATAAAAGTGATCGATGCCGCGTTACCTTCTCGCCAGAACTGGAGATTGAAGCTAACGAAAGCACGCTGGGATTCCATTTCCCATGTATTTTGTCAATAAAGGCAACGTGGGCGTCATTTTGTTTACATGCCACTACTAGAAGCTTGTTACATGGCACGTAAACAGCGTCTTGGTAAGGATCATGGCCGGGCGGGGGGGGGGGGGGGAGGGGGGGGGGCAGGGCACGAGCCCCGATGCCCCCCCCCCCCCCCCTTCCCCCGTAGTCTGCGCCTATGCCTACAGGCCTTATGGGCATGCCCAGGTCATCTTCTTCAAGAGAGCGCTAGGCACAGTATAACGTAAATATACTTACGATAAACGATGTGACGTTCATTGTTCGGGCCATATCTCTACCGAAAGCAGCGGTCAGAGAATGCGAGCTTGACCCACTTCGGTTTTTGTGCTGGAAATATGAACCGTGCCTGCTGCACTTTTTCTGCAGGCCTGAATATTAAAGGGGCGGTGCAACGATTTTCGGACTTCGGTCAAAGATTTCTGAAAGTTGTCCCCTGACACTTCTGAAGTAAAGAACAGAAAACTGATTTCGCCTGCGTGTCCTAGTTGTTGCGTAAAAAAAAGATAAAGATTGGCATTTCGGGCACCCCTCAACTCACTCCCAGCCTTCAGGGTCACACCCGGTTGCACTCCCAGTGACGTCATTCGGAGTGCCGTGTAGCTTCCCGTGTGCTATCTCGGAGGACGCTTCCCCTCCCTCTCCCTGCGTACATTAGCGGGCGCTGTGCTGCAGCTTAGAGCCGAGCGAGGTCACGTAATCTTTCCGCCGTAGTTCCTTCGGCTGCCACTTGGGGCTGCAGGTGGGGGAAAAAGCGCGACTTTTGCTTTGCGATTATGCAGCGGAATCGCGACATTTTTATTGAAGGAAGTGTTTTCTCTATCCTCTGGGACACGATAAACAACGTAAGAATGACGAGATGCAAATTCTTTTAATCATAAAATCATTGCACCGCCCCTTTAACAAAAGAGCCCCTCCTCCCCCTCGGGCGACCGGAGAACACGAACTCAGGCCGAACGCTGACGCGGCGTTCGGTTACGTCAGCCGAGTGAATAGTCATTGTTATTTTATCCCCATCCGTATCGTTCTAAAGTTAGCCGCTTGGGGCGCCACGGTCTGATCTCCTCCCCTTGTGCGCGCGGGAAAACTGCATGGCGTCCGTTGCCTTCACTTGACGACGATGACTCGCTTGACGCACAGCTTACATCCGCTTCCCGGTCCTGCTGTCCCGATCGGGCCTATCTTCACGTGACTTAATGACGTTCGCGCCATCCGTGCTGCCATTTGCTGCGGCCCTCCGACTGTCGAACGGAGGTGCGGCGAATATCTGGCAAGTTGGTCGCATGCCGGAGCCGGAGGAGCCCCCGTCCGGTGCTCCAGTGCCACCAAACTTGTATTGTCCGACGATGTGTTCCTAGAGTTCGCACGTCGGATCGAACAATTTTGAGGCGCATGTGTCTCGCGCTGAAAACACCATCACCATTTTGTTCAACTTACCTCACAAGAATCCGATTTATCATCTGAGATTGCACAAAACATGGTACTGTTCATATAGTCATTTTTAATCTTCTCATTTCGATACACCTCTTCGAACCAAGAATAACAATTCTCATCAGATAACACTTTCATCACAATCGTATAAAGCGTATTTCTTGACGAGCCACCTGTCGTAAGAGAAAGGTTAGTTTCGCAGTTTCTCAGTAGCATGATAAAATCATAAAATTTTGTCTCATGTTAACGCACGCGCTTGATGAAACATGGCCAATGTTTACACGCCCGAGCTTCTGAAAAGACACATCTCCGTTCATACATGCGTGAATCCATTCACAAACACAAACGCCCACGCCCGCACACAGATCTGTGGGTATGTGCCACTCATTAACTTGTTATGAAAACGCATCAGTGAAGAAATAAAACTCAAATATTTGCTTAACAAAAATAATCTTGCTTCGAATAAAAAATTAAGCAGACATTGCTGGCTAGTTTATAGCAATAAACGGGTCAGTGCCGGGCTTCGGATCACGCAGATATCGGCCTTGCTTCTACGGTGTGCAGACGCGCACGCTCGCGCTTGTAATTATGCGTTTTTAATGTTTGAGGTTAAGAACAAATTAAAGTAAAATGAGCACGTATAAATTCTTATTTGTATTTTACGATATTGAAAATCATGCGGTGACATGAACACCATGTTGCAGGTGTCTTAAGCCGCAGTAAGACTGCTCAAACATCAAAGAAACGACACGGGGTTCACTGAAGACATCATGATAAACGGAAACACCCGAGGCATGTTCGATCATGTCTGCAGACATGTTTTTGTATTACCAATGTTACCATCATACAGAAGGCAACACGCCTCAGACAATGTTGGCAGACTGTCTTTTGTATGTGGAGTAGCGGTGTGATAGCGGCCTTAAAGAGACACGGACACCACCCTATCTTTTTTTTTTTTTGCCAGGCGATATATTATGGTGTCAGAAGACTGCCCAATCAATATTTTGCTACAGCGTCGCGTATATTTTTAAGAAAGTTAAAAAACGCAACTGCTCGAAACCGAAACCAAAACTAGACTGGGGAGGAAGAAGAGATACAGAGGAGATGAGTGTGTCGGAAGCCCCGTGGCTGTGACACCTTTTTTTCCTCAGTCAACGTATTTGCTGCTTTTTAGAAGCCACAAACGATAGGTATCATATTTCTTTTTCATTTTTAATATTGTGTGTGCCTTCGATGACCCACGACTTTGATTATATTTGGTGGTTGTGTTTAAACCATAAAAAAAAAACGGCACGTGACCAATGAGAAGAGAGTGAACTTGACTCAAACCGACCAGTTCTCGATCGGCGGTTTTCGGGCGCAAAGAAAACGAATTTTGAGCCGCAAATTGTTTTTTTGGGTAGTTGGGCTCTCATATGTCTTTTACAAATAAAAAGCTTGTCGAGCATAAATATCCTGTCAGTGTCCCTTTAAAGGGAAACTGAGGCGATTTTGCATTTCAGGAAAAACTCTTAAATTGGCGGTGCAACGATATTCAATTGGAATGGTTTTTTTTCGCGTTACACGAGCTTACTGGCACTAGGGGGACTCAAGAATACTCGCACGCAACGCCACTGGCTAAAAAAACTCCTTTGTTGCGATGTAATTTCAAGGACAAAAGCGAGAGCTTTCATTCCATCTCTTCTTCGCGAAACTTGATGACGTAGCTGGGGGATCGCAGTACGCTTCAGTGACAATTGTTTAACGCGACTCATAAATTGGACCCAAGCATTTCGTGCGCGCTCGATTGGGGCTCGTGATTATTGATAGCTCGAGATGCATTCGGGTAGTGGCCCGTGTCCAATCGCTGCAATGACGACAGTGGCTGAACCATAACAATGTCTAGAAATCAGCGCGTATCCTGTCTTCTGCCAACCCCAGCGCGTGGCTATGATCAACATTGGCGGCATATAAGTGGCTCCAGGTCACGTGGCCTTTTGTTCTGGCTGCGATTTGAGGGGGTGAACGCTGCTCGTTTTTCTTTGATTTATTCTAGGACTTCTATTGCGTAGTGAAAAACGAACGCGTGTTTCATGGGTCATTGACGTCAGGAAACCGTTCTAAGCAGTATTTTGACAAAGTGCAAAATTTGTTGCTTCGTCCCTTTAAATCGTCTTTATTAGGCCTCCAGGATCACGAATATCAAAGTTATATTTTCGAGTAACGCGCCAAGCAGCCAGAGCAGCGCTTTCAAAACAGCGCTGAAGCCCTTCCTTCTAGGCGCGTTCGGTGGGATGAGGGAATTGTGACGTATGCGCCGAGAAAGTGAGGGAGAGGAGGAGACCTTAGAACGCCTTGCTCTGGTTGGAATGATTAGTGGGTAGACCCAAAACTAGCAGCCTTTTTCTCTGACTTCTGCTTATCTCAAATACTCTACTCAAAGTACGGTACCTATTTCAAATACTTTTTGTAGTATTTGGGTATCTTCCAAATACATTTAGTCTAGAATATTTGCTGCTCTATCCTAATTACATTTCTTTAACTTGTGCTCAGTATCTCAAATACATTTTGCAACCTTCGGAAAACAAAATTTCGCCGGAACAATTTACGGGAGTGGGGATCGTCAGACCTCAGGGTAAAGCTGAACCGATTGCAAACTCGGAGGCAAGCCACCAAACACAAAACAGAAACCAAGGCACGAGCAAAACACAGTTTTTAAATTCAAACAAAAGACCGAATAAATAGCCCCACGCCTCTCTGTGTCTTCTTGTGCACCCCCCCCCCCCCTTTTTTTTTCAATCTGTCTTTGAATGGCACGTCACTCTTTGAGCTAGCAAAGTGCTGGTGACGTCATCCGGATTTTGCTCTCATACCCCACCTCTTGTCTGGATCGAGAGTGGTTCCGTCAGTGGAGGATTGCTACGCCAACGCTCGGGACGGTCACAGTGAACCATTTTCGGAAATGTCCGGTTCAGGCGTTCTAGTATTGAAAATGCGGGAACATGTTTTCATGCGAGCACAGGCACTTTTTCGGCCATAGAACCCAGATCCTGCAGGCTTATTGATCCGAAGTGACCTCAATTAGGCTTCCCCAAATCTCCTTGTGTGCCTATTGCGGCTTAACGTTTGCTCCGAAGCTCGTTTAAAAGCGTTTCTTTCATCATCTTCCGAATGCGCGCGTTTTTTCATCCTTAAAATCCTCAAAACCAGTTTTCCGCTAGGAGGAGTAATTAATGAACAAGTGGATTCTGATTTTGGGATCTTTGCCATTATGGCCTCAGTGCGTATAAAAATGGTTTGAACTGGCGTACAAGGGGGCAGTGGAAGGAGGTTCAGAAGCTGTTTTGTGGAAACTCTCGTGTGTTTCCCTCTTGACTTTCCTGTTTTTTTGTTGCTGTTGTTTTTTTATTGAGAATTTGAAGATCCACGTGATTTTTTGTTTGTTTTTGACTAGGGGGACAAAGTACTCTCTTTTGGTTGTTAATCAGCGACAGAGGCTGATGTCCGCGAATTCGATGTTTCTTCTGAGCGTGAGCTTGTGTCGTTCACTCGCGTACTCATCAACAAGTCTGGCTGCCTGATCACCTTCTAGTAGTTCGGCTGTCATGGATATGCAATGTCGAACAACACGTCAAGTGCCCCGAATCGCGGCGGGGTATATTACGAACTTATTCCGGAATGCGTCATGAGCAGCAGGGCAGGTGCCATGCCTACATTACACGAGTCCCGTTCTTTTATCAAATATTTCGGCACGCATTATGTTGCATATCCCGAATTATTTGAGAGTGAACTTCAAATGCAGAAACTAAGGTTTTTTTTTTTTTTTTTTAAGGTTATAAAGATCACAGCAAAATGTGCTTTTTATAGAAGTCATCAAAAATCGAGTACTCCTTTCTGATTTTTTATTCTTAGATTACCAGCTTAAAAACGTACCGAGTATCTTCGAATGTAATTCAATTACTTTATCGAAGCAGTCGTACGTTACTCAAGATTGTTCGCACTAAAAGTATCTTGAATACTACTCTAATTACATTTTCAAATATGTATTTAGTATCTTATCTTAAATACCTGTGTTGAGCGTTTGCTACGCTGTCTCCACTGCTCTCGTCGAACGCGTTAAAATTTGGAACGCAGAACGTATCAGATACTTTACTAGGAGGAATACAAGACACCCTCCTCATATGCATCAGAGAGAACGACGGCCGAGTCGTTCTGTCACGGCCGTCGACGGACGAAGACGCCGCCGAGTCGTTGCCCCTTCTCCTGGCTGAAGACATCGCTCGTCTTACGAACACGAATTGATAAGAGCTTGAAATACACGCAAACTCGCTTCGTGCTCAAAGTTTGCGTTATTTGTGCGACGTGCGACATACGGGTTTTGCGTTTTTTGTCTGCTTCGCACGGCCGAAAATACGAAGAAGAAAAAAGAAATAAACGTGGTTGGGAATAGCCACGTCACTTACGGCAACCCTGTCCTCCTCTACATTTTTCCTTTCTACCCAGGCCAGTTCTGGTTTCGGTTTTGAAAAGTTGCGTTTTTTTTTTTTTTTTTAACTTATTAAAAGTATACATGACGCTGAATCAGAATGTTGGTTCTGTAGTCTTTCTACACACTATTAACACGCCTGGCAAAATCTTTTTTTCTTTGGTGTGTGTCTGAGGGGGGGGGGGGGGGGGAGGGGGGGGGGGTTAGTGTCTTTCCCTTTGATGCCCAAAACTTTACTTGAAATACTAAAGACCCACAAACCCTGACATGGTTTTAGAATACACGCAGTCTGAGATCATGCACAAGTATGATCTCAGAAAAAAAAATTACCTTTTCTTGTACGCGCGTTTCGAAGTGTTGCTCGTAAGCAACATTGGGCATTTGCAGCTCTACTTCACGTCGGATGAATAAAATCAGTTGCCACGTAGGAGAAGAGCGAGGCGCATTTTGAATTTCACGCAGTATAGGAAGGTATAGCCGAAATTGTATTATTCGCGCCGCTCTCTCCTCTTGCAGTTTTGAGGCCACTGGTGCACGCCATCATACCTCACATTCACTCTCGGCATTAGTTTTAAGAAATGAACGATCTGTTTTAAAGATGCATTTCGATCCCCTACCGCTAAGTGCAGGTATCCTTGCTCTTTCTACAAGGGGCACTAAATTTATTGAGGCGCATGTGGTACGGTAGAAGATAAATCATTCTTGAGTTGTTGCTTCTTGGCAACGTTGGGCATCAAAGGATTAAATCAATTCATGTGACTCAGTCAGCTATTTGCTTTTACTTCTTTGTGTTGACATAGATACAAACAGGATAAAAAGTAAACAACTAACATTTTCTAACATCGCGCAAATACTTTTTTTTTATTAAATTTTTACCGCGTTCTTTAGCTACTCCTGTTTCCGCCGAAAATTGTAACCATGTGTGCTTTTCTTAGCCCTAGTTTCCGAATCGTATAAGTCAAGCGTGTGTTGCGTGCCTCCTACAATGTTATTTATAATATCAGATGACGTGAGAGGCTTGCCTCGCTTCCATACAAGCTGCGTCGTATTATAAAACTAGCTTTTTAAGCAATAACCATGTTGGCTCGCTCCTTCCCGTCTTATCGGGTGTCCATGTAACACCACAAGAATACAGTAAGGGTATCATCATCAATGTGTTCTATGTGCGAGGTAGCGCAAACAGCCCCTGCCTCAAGTCACGTCGCCAAATCGAGGCGCTATCAGTTTTATTCGGTGATGGTTTCAGTGAAGCAAAGTGGAAATGCTACGGAGGGATACACCGCTTCGGACGCGGTCCAGTGACGGCACAGCCACCGAGTCGCCTTATTGGCTCCTGTGTGCTTCTTAGGCATTATGTTATTGAATTCTGCCTACTGAAACGACGCCTTTGAAGCAGTATTTATACAACAACGAAAAGCAGCGTCCTCGCCAAGTCTCGTCGCGATCAGTCGCTTGGCAGGTAAGTCAGGTAAGCAGCTGATTGTCCTCCCTACCTGCGAAAAGGCTAAGTGTAGCGATCGATGTCACCCTTCTTTGTGTCGTTTAAACTCACACATGTACCTTTTCTGCTACGCGACATTGATATCGCAGTATATCAGCAGCGAGCTTCGCCTCCTTCCCTTCCGCATGAAGCCGATCTGTCCGAGACGACGAACTGTTTTCTCGACAGCGAAAATCTGTAATCCTGCGCATGATGCTCTTGAGCGGAACACTTTCTAAAAAAATCTAGTGATTTTTTCGAAGAAAATTTTTAGAAAGAGCAAGTCGCTGCTATGAATAGAAGGAGCCAGTCCAATCACGAGGCTGAAAATATGTTTCGACCTAAGAAAACAGTCCGCGCTGTGACGCTAGGTGACTACGTCACGTAAGCACATGCCTACGTCACGCAGGAAAGTGAAACGTCCTGCTCAGTGCCACCGCGCAGGCTATTGTTTTCAGATTGAAAGATAGTTCCAGCCTCAACAATCGCCGATACCTCTATGTGGAAGGAGGCGTTCCACATTTATAAGGGCATTTCGTGAAAGCAGACAAACCCTATTTCTCAAGGTGCACCTTCTGAGCTCTTAATTTTTCAGCCACCGAAAAAAAAATAAAAAAGAAAGCACTTTTTTTTCTTTTTTCAAAGTTCAGCGTAAAATTGTAAAATTTAGGATCACCTGGTCTCTTCGCTCCATATCCGCAAATGATAACGAATCCTCTAACCGTGTAATATTCCTCAGGCAAGTCAATCGTTTTTATTGAACCATTAGATGCCTGTATGTTGAAGGAACTGTTTAGTCTTAAGATGGCGATATCAAAATCGTACTTTTTCTCGTCATAATGCTCGTGTACAAATGTCTTTGCTATCTGTAGAAAGAAAACAAAACAAATAGTATTCTTTTTAACAGAGCGTTCGGTTTCTATTTTCATCCGCGAGAGACAAGGCGAGCATTCCCAACTTTCACCGATGCATGGTGGTACCGCGGTGTGAGGTTCGCGTTCCCTAGCTCCTGGATCATTGACTTCACAGTAGAGTTGTTCAATCTTTATATCCCCCTGATATAAAATAGGTATGGAAGAGCCCAATATTGCTCGTATCTAACAAAAGTAGGATTACTGACGCGTCACAGACATAATCTCGGACTGTTTGCTCTACGTGGATCATCCAGATTGTAGCCAGTCTGATAAGCGCCAGTCCGCCATCTATAGGTCGTGAAAGTTGCAAATATTGAGTTGCTTGTACTGAAAAAAAAAAAACAATTTCACTGGAAGGCAAATTTATTTTTCGTCACAGACTCAGTAAGTCAGATTCCGAGAGTGACTCCTATAGACTCTACACTCTCAAGAAAAAAGGGTGTATCGTTACATCCTTTGTCTGATATTATACACCCCAAAACTTCGTCCCGACGTTCTGTGCCCTATAATTGAACAGACGGCCCTAAATTTTACGAACGGCTTGATAACGGTGCGATATAACTTTTTAAATAGCTAAAGTACGTATCAAAGACCGCATAAAGAAAACACCGAGTTTTCACAGTAGGGCCAAGAAAACCCCGATAATTTTTTTTGTAGTCAGTAACACATACATTAGCTCTTTTAATAAGTTGAACCACACGGCTATCAAGCCCCTCGTAAAATTTTGGCCCGTCTGTTCGACTGTGGTGTGCTGTATGTCGAATTGAAGTTTTGGCGTCTATTATATGGGACAAAGGGTGCAACAATACACACTTTTTTCTTGAGAGTGTAGAGATTTTATTAAATCGCATGCAATTTCGTGCACGTCTTACCTATTACGTTTGTAGAAAACTGATAGTTAATGTTGCACTTTAGAACCGACGAGGTGAGACAAATTTAGCGTTATTTGAAAACAAACAAAGAAATTAAACTTTTTTCAAAATGTTATAATTCGTAAATGTGCGGGTAAAATTAATATGTTTCAATGCAAGCAGTGGATGTGCAGGGTGCCATAAATATTATTTAAAAAAAAGAAAGTCGCTTACAACCCCCTTAACGCCGAATTAGAGCGCAGCTCTTCTGAAAGAGGGGGGAAGGGTACTGAAGGAAGGGTACACCTTTCGTCCCTCCTTCCTACTTCGTCATCCTGCCTGCTACTCCGCTACTGGGGCCACATGGCCTCACAGGGGCCACGTGACCTCGGGGGGGTCACGTGACCTCACGTTTACGCCAACGGCGACGGCGCTCAAGCCGGAAACGGGCGCCTAAGAGCTACGCTCTAAAACTCAGACCTCAAGAAACATTTTTTGTTGTGATATAAAAAAATTGAAGAAACTTAATTTCATTGGCGCCGATTATGGCAATTTTTCACACGCACGGCATGTCGAAGCCACCAAGGATAGTGGTGCTTGAGAACAGACAAGTCGGGCTTAATTTATATATGACTATCCTTGTTCACATTAAAATAGTGACTGTGCTTCTATTTTTACATAGCGCGCGAGGCGACCCATTTACAGCAACCTAATAATCGAGAGCCCATGACAAACGAAAATTCCGGGGACACGTTTTATTAATTTCTTATGTACAATGCTTTCCCCACTCCCCTCACCTCCCCCCTCCCCCCCCCCCCCCCACCCCCCCCAAAAAAAAACAACAAAAAAATGGGAAAGGAAAGAGATTTATGTCTTTTCTCCGCAAACATTAAATACGCATCGCCAAACGCTCAGTGTCTGTCCAGATGTAGCGCTAGCGGTCCGGATCCTACGCCAGAGTTTCAGATCTAGCACTTATCTCATTCAAAAGTTAATTTTCGGGACATTTGAATAAAAAGTTGGCTCTGTTACTGGTAGTTTGCGCCACCGTCAGTCTCACGTAGTCATGGACTTTGTCGGTCACCATTTCACGATTGAGAATTTCCGAGAATTCCTCATAACTCTTGATACCAGTTCGTTCTAAAACTTCGGCATCTGGTTCGAACCACTAATGCTACATTTGAGCCGAAGCTGAGCGTTAGACGATACGTAGTTTGTTTTAGTGATTTAGAAAGCAGGGTAAAATGTTTAGGAGGACACCCTGTATTTACTTAAACAGCTTACAGCGCCGAACTACTCCCGATTCATTGTACGCTAATCATCTCTCCGAGCAGGTCACAAACAACGAGCTTGCTCGCTTTGATTGGAGGAGCATAGTGGGTAAAGGCGAAGGCAGGAAGCCTTTGTGTTGTATCCTCGGTTGCGCCATTTTGATAGCGAGAGAGAAAAAATGGAAAGGGCTGCCGGCGCTTTCCCCCTCGCTGGGTCGTTAGAAAGAGTGAAAGTCCCGGATGAAAGGCTTCGCCGGTGTTGGGCGTATGCAGTGCCCGAACTTTGTACGCGCTTTCTTTTCTGTTTTATACTCGCAAACTTAATTAGAGCCACGGGCTTCAATGGCGACAGTCCCTCAGTCATCGGGACACCATTGCTCGGTGATAGGGTGCACGAAAAGCGACAGAAAGCGTCGAATACTATCCGAGGACCTATGTAGCTTGCATGGAATCCAACAAGGTGAGTGTGGCTGCAATGTCTTTAAAATGCATCGCTTTCCGCGTCACTAGAATTGAACCATTTATCAATTTTTGCTTGCAATGGGCCTATTTCAACGTTGCCGTTTTTAGTAATCAACAAGCGATACACGACACGGGAGCCTCATTTTACTTTGGAAACACTCGGAGCTGCCACTGATTATTTTGCTGCTCTGCTTTCATCCAGGGTTGGGAAGTATCGCAATAGTATTTCAGAAATACATTTCGTATCTATGTTTCTGTATCGCGCGATACATTTTTTCATCAGTATCTGTATTCCTTTATCGAAATACATTTTGGACGTTTCTTTGTATGGCGATACAATCAGGGTGAAATGTATTTGGTTACATTTCTTGAAAAAGACCCCCCCCCCCCCCCCAAAAAAAAAAAATACAATTAAGTCCTTGTGCAATTTCTTTTTTTCTCTTTTTTTTTACTTCTGAGGGCATTAGGGTTAAGGAGATGCTGGGGCATTGTTACCATGCTGACCAAGGTTCCTTCCGATTCTCCGAACTATTTTTCTATGCGTCATCTTCTCTCTTCGGAGAAGTGTTGCATAGTCGGGGACTCGAATCAAGTGCCGTGCCAGGAGTAGAGTGGGATCCTGGGTTCGAGCCCCACCCCTGCCCGTTCCGATATGGGTGAGCATCGTACCGGCGTGCGGTCGTGTATCACTACTGCGTGGTGCACGTTAAAGACCCCAGGTTAGCAGTCGTACTGCACTGGCAAAATTGCTCATCTACAGTGTAAACCAGTGTCGCCCCTAGTGGCAGACCAACCTTACGCTGTATAAATTACTAAAACATCCAATTTGACTTTTTTTTTTTTTTTTTTGCTGGCTTCCAATGCCCGCTGGCTACATAGATCCTCGGACAGTATTCGACGCTTTCTGTGGTTATTCGGTCACCCTATGATCAAGCAATGGTGCCCAATGACCATGGGCGAGCAATAGTGTCCCGATGACCGGGGGACTGTCGCCATCGAAGCCCGTGGCTTTAATTAAGTCTGCGAGTTTAAAACAGAGAAGAAAGCGCGAACGAAGTTCGGGCACTGCAGACACCCAACACCGCCGGAGCCTCTCATCCGGGACTTTCACTCTGTCTAACCCCCCAGCGAGGGGGAAAGCGCCGGCAGCACTTTCCCCTTTTCTCTCTAGCCCTTTTTCAGTAAAATGGTCTATATAAACCATTCCATTTAGCGCTCTCTGGGTGGCACCATTTTGTTCGACAGCAGCGCCCTCTCCATACATCCGGGAAATTCAGCGGGTTCGGCGGGGTAAAACGAGAAAGAGGGCGCGCGCCAGACTCCGCTAGCCGGCGACAAACTGGGAGGTGGACATTCTCCATCTTTGGGCTGTACCGGCGGGCTGTACGGAACATCGAACTCTCGCTCGTGGCTGCCGTTGTGAAGTGGTTCGCGTTCTCGGAATAGTTATGAATACTCCAAAATCAGCCTATAGCTCTCTGTTGTATTTCGGTAAATGATCAACTAGCATATCTTTTTCCCGTTACTTAAACAGCAGTTGAGTCAGCCGGCAGTACTACCCTCAACTACTGCGTGTATTGCGGCAGGAGAGCACGTTTTTATTTATTATTTCAGACTTCCACTCATGGTCGCTAAAAGCCTACACCAGTACGAACTTTGTATAGTAAAAAAGGTTCAGCAAACGGATTTACTTTTCGCCGGAGAGACCGGCCAATCTGACACAGTTTCCCCTATTTTTTTTTTTATTTGCACGCAGGTAACAGCGCAATTGGACCCTGTTAGTCTTTTTATCTAGCATAGTATTACACGATAACTGGCATACGAAAATCTGCACATCTGCGCTTGAAATTTTCAAAATGACGCGATTTTATACAGAGTTTGTACGCCCACTCAGGTACAGCCCACTCGGCGGAGCAGACGACGTGCAGGTGAGAGGGGGACGGCATTTTTTTTCTCTCTATTCCCCTCTCTGCTATGACCCTAATGGAACGGTCTATACTTCCAATGTGAGCTGGGCGCTGTGACGTTAATGTACTCCGTGCGCAAGAAGCAGAGGAAGTTACTCGGGACTAAAAGGCACTTCAAAATTAAAAAAAGCGAAATTAAATTGGGGTTGAGATCTAGTTCTGTCGTTTATTCAATCGAGTTTTCTTTTAGTAGATCGTACGCTGCGGAGAGCGGGTCCAGCAGGCGCGTGCTCAATTACTGACGACTCGAGCTCCCGCTAGCCAACCGAAGCTCTAGAATACGATCTACTAAAAGTCTCTAATATGAACTCGATCGTATGGCTCACCTTTCTGATTTGATGCGTTGCTGAGTACGGCAATCGTGAAGTGAGGCTTCCGGCTATTACACTTAAGTGTGATACTTTCTCGCTGGAAAAGAAAAGACAAGCGTTGCAGATTCAAAGTTTCGAGAGGACGATTTTTAAGAAGTGAAACTCACTATATACTTTGTTTCGCCTTAAGCCGTACTCTGTTGCCGCTAAGAGCTGATGGGGCCAATCAAATAGAGTCCAGAGTGAAAGTCCCTTTACATTCTTTTACATTGACATACATTCTCTGTGCGTTCAGCAATGATCAAACACGTACAGAAACATGACGAGGACCACGCGGGTGTGCTTTTGAAATTGTTTGATTGATTCCATCAGCTCGTAGCGTCGTCTGCGTCATGAAATAATGTGAAACAAAAGTATAGGCATCGTCTGCGATGACCGTGTACAATGACGCTACTGGGTTCTATTTAATCAATCTATACTCTTAGAAATCTGTTGTGTCTACTTTCCCAGAAGGCTGTCGGGATAGCCAGTGGGTTTTATATACGGGAAAAAAACCTGCAAATCACAATGCCTAAATTATGTTTAGGCATTAAAAAAAAAAAAATCTGAGTTATGACATTGAGCATTGTGAAGCGTAACTATCCGCACCGACTTTTTTAGGTCTAGGCATAATTTCACCCTCGTCATTAGCAGAGCCCCTAGACGTTCTTGATTTATTAGAGTGGAAGTCACTAACAGCTATTGAAAGCGCAAAGGAAAGCCTTATTGTATTCACGCTGCCTACCTCCGGACTTGTCCTGCGTTCTTATTGGCTAACACTGCAATCTATCTGACTGTGGAGCAAAGATAAGATGTCTGGTACTCGTCACATACTGCGTTCCTATTGGTTACATTTATTGTCTATTAAATTAGTATGCAATATCGCCTCCCCATTGTCTGGCATGCTCAGAGCACAAAGTTGTCCGCCCGCTCTGCTGCGATAACTGCTTTGTAAGTGGAGCGTAATACCAATCGGCCTTCTTCCCATTGGTTGAGTTTATTAAAGTATGATCAGCGATTAGGGTTCAAAGTGCATGGTTTCGCCAGGACTTCTGCACATCGTATTCGGAGACTTCCCTAAGTCTAGTCGTCGTCTGCTAACGCGTGAGGAAACCACGACAAAATACAGAGTGCGAATAGCTTAGATGAAGATTACGCTTACTTGATCATGCTGACAAAGTCCGGGTAGCAAAGGACGTGTTGTGAACGAGCTGGGCACATGCTGTATCTGTGTGTGTGTGACGTCACATGACGTCGTGAGGTCACACGACCGTGATGTCACGTGAGTACCGGTGTCACACGATATTCTGATCACTCGTGATGTCACGATGTCACGTGACGGTACAACGGCATGTGACGTCATGGAATTACATGACGTCATAGTTCCACGTGATGTCACCGTACGTCGTGATGGTTTTTTGTGACGGTGCTTCATAACGTTCTTTTAAAAATATTTGAGTAATAAAATCTATTGTTTTAAGAAAACAGTCGAAAAGACGCCTAGTATTTTAGATATGTTGATGGCAAAAACGAATAACATTTACAAATTTAAACAAATCTCAGCTCGCGGGAGCATTTATGGGGAAAAGCAAGAAACATAACACTTACTCATCGAGGCAATGAGCCGCTGTCAAGACTTCCAGGGGTGAAATCAGGGAGCCTCCACAGATTTGTTTCATCTTACGATCTAGTATCGCCACCTATTTATACGACGTAAAATAAAATCGAAAGAAAGAAGCCTCACAATTAAGCCTCTCTCGTAAGTTTTAATGTTTGTTCTAAAACAAATTTGGGAAATTAAGTTACGTATCCTCTAATAACATATAAGAAAATCGACCCCTTAGTGAGGTGCGCCATCTTCTATGATGAGTGAGCTGAACAAAACACAGACAAAAAAAACACCATTTACACTGCTGAATTTGCAACGGTTTAATGCTCCTATTTGTTATTGTTGCTTTTTTTTTTGTTTTTTTTTTTTCGAGTCATTAATATTTCTTTTTTCTTTAACAATGCAGCTGTTAAAGGCCGACGTACACTTCGCGCTTTCCACTTTTGCCCGCCCATTCCTTTCCTATATCCTCTCCACTCTTTACCTTGCCGCAACTTGGCTCCCCTCGCAGATTAGGAGAGGGGAGCGCTAACAGGATTATCTTCCCTGCAGAAAACCGAGGTTGTACCTCGGCCTTTAAGGGCTAGTTCACCCAGCATCGTGTCCTTCGCGAAGAAATGAAGACACCGAACTCTGGACACCTACCGCCATGTGTGAGCGACGGCGGCAAGCCACGTATCTCGCTGCCGCCGTCGCTCACAGATGGCGGCAGCCTTTCCACTCTGGCTTTGTCCGAATTGCGGCCGGCCATTACTTACCGTTGTAGAGCTCCGCTGGTCTTCCTTCACCAGAGTGGAAAGGCTGAAAGTTTTTTTTCTCCCGTCAATCATATTTGCTTTTTCTTCAAGCCGCTTTTCAATTTCTGCTTTTTGGGATGAGGTGATTGCGCTTTCTTCATTTTTCTTTTATCCATCCCCGGACGTCGACGCTTCCTCTTATGGTCGTTCCTGTGGGGAGCCACCGGAAGCCGTGCAAGGATCAAAGAAGAAAAATAATGCGCAACCATCCAATTATGGTGGCTATAGGGGAAGGTGTATCGAGCGTTCCACATTACTGTGTAGTTCCACGTGCCGCCGCTTCATGACGAAAAAGTGTCGCTGCAGCCAGGCTACCGGTATAGTTCCTGTATAGGCTCCCTACGGGAACCAGAGTTGCGCGTCTGTTTTTACGTGCCGCCGCGCCGCTATTCGCCGAGATCCGATCATGTGAGGAGCCGGATCAAGTGCCGTGCAGGAAAGTAGATGTTGCACGCGCCCCGGCGTACGTTCCCCTGCGCGCGGCGCCGCTATTCGCCGAATTCAGTCACGTAACGAGCGGGATCAACATGCCGTGCAGGAAAGCGCCGAGATGTTTCGGTGGCGCCCTCTTATGGTTTCCCTCCGTGATGTCACGGCTGGGATTTGCCTCGCCATGACGTCACCAGTTGTTATTCTGGCTACTTACCATCGGGTGCAACGACGAGTTCGATGGTGTGTTTAAAAAACACAGTAGAAGCTAGGAGCATCGCAATTCGAAACTATAGTTGGTTGCAAGCTAAGAAAAAACCGGAAATGCCTCTCAGAGGAAAATGTAATCCTACGCCGAGAAACACCAGCCAATCGTTTTCATGACGTCACGATTCCGTTAACCAATCGCGATCCTTTTGAAAAAAAAAAAAAAAAAGTTCAACATGGCTGCTGGCCTTAGCAACGCGACGCTAGTTTCTCGTGACAATTATTCTGCTTTTTTGCACCGTGTTTTACGTGCCCGAGGTTACGCCACGAAATCTTAATGGTATCGGCTTGCGTTTGCAGCAGTTTTTGCGCAAAAACGTGAGAATCCAGCGACGCTATCGCTAACAAAAATTTCGAAGCGGCCGCGAGGCTTAGCACTGCTGAGAGGTATGTTAGACGGTATGTTAGACAGTATCTTGGACAGAAAATGATTTGGGAAGACGGTACATTGGACATGACTTTCTTTCTTTACTAAACAGCTATTTCGTTGACAAAAACGTATTCTAACTTATTTAAATGTCCTGAATGAATTAAATAAATAGTAGTAGTTTAAGACACGTTTCCTGGAGGAAGAAAAAGCAACGTTGCTAGCGAACTACTTTCTTGACGGCGGAGGCACTTCACATGGGCGCAATGCGCTTGTGGGTGGAGCTAAAAGATTGTTCTTAGGTTGCATCCGACTATAATACCGTCAAAGTTGACAATCTGGCAGTGCTTACATGCCCATGGTTTGGACAATCATGGAAAGCTGACCACAGCGACGCTTTTGACTGCGCACATCGCTAATACAGGAACTATAGCTACCGGTAAAGCCACTTGGTGTTTCAAAAGTGACGCAAGGTGGGTCGATGCACGAGGCACGTGCAACGTGTATCCCTTGGGAAGATCATCGCGGCACTGCGCAGCACTGGGCTAGATTTCAGACGCCATGTTCTTCCCAGAAGTGGCGCCCGGCATGTGTCTCGAGCATTTCCCCAACAATGAATCGCGCCTTCCCAGGATAGAGGGGCTTTAGCTACCGGGCTTTAGCTCCCGGCAAAAGCTCCCGATGCATTGCTGCTCGAAGGGGCGTGGCGTGAAGCGTCTCGAGTGTTGTGCGCGAGCGCGCGGGGCACCAGAGCGTTTCGTACTACGCGTGCTCATGCAGGACGCACTTCTACGCGTGGTGCCATTGTGCGCCGCCCGATGGCACCAGGCGCAGGTGACCGGTGCTACTGTCCTCATGAAGAAGTGGCGTGCTATCGATTTTTTGTTCCGCACACCTCAGCTTATTAGCACCGAGATGTTTCGGTGGCGCGCTCTTATGGTTTCTATCCGTGACGTCACGACTGGGATTTGCCTCGCCGTCACGTCACCAGTTCTTATTCTGGCTACTTAACATCAGGTGCGACGACGAGATCGGTGGTGTGTTTAAAAGCACAGTGGAAACTAGAAGCCATCGCAATCCGAAACTAACACCGTCAAAGTTGACAATCTGAGAATGCTCATATGCCCATGGTTTGGCCAATCGTGGAAACCTGACCGCAGCGACGCTTTTGGTCGCGCACATCGCTAATCTCAAAAATCAAAAATTGAGAAGCGGCTTAAAAGAAATGATTGACGTGAAAATATAGAAAGAAAATAATAATTACTCGAAAAAAACAAAAAAAAAGGTTATCATTAAACAGTTGCAAGTCCAGCAATGTGAATGGTGTTTTTTGTTTGTGGTGTAATCTTTCTTTAGCTGGGCCCATCGTTGCAATGAAGCACCTAGCTCAGCTTAAGCCAACGTTATTAGATTAGCTCAGTTACGGAACTTCTCATAAACGCTGCATGCATGAGCAGTACCCCCCTCACTCACCACGAATCGCCTCCCGTCGCTCGACGCACCGGACGGCTGCTTTGGTAACTGCTGTGTATTCTATGGGATAGGTACGTTTCGAAGCGCAGCGTCTAGATGGCGTTCCCATCGTACTCTATCGAACACCCAATTCGTAAACAAAAAACTAGATGGCTCTTCGAACGGCGGGAGGCGGACTGAAGTGACTGAGGGGACTACCTTTTCCGTTCCACAACTGAGGTAATTTAGTAACGCTGGCTTAAGCCCTTGGACACTGCTCTATATTCAATTCAATGTAATTATATTCAAAATGTTTTTAATATATTCATTGGAGGGTTTTTTAATAAAAAAACGTATCTCTATTTTATTTTTTTCACGGAAAAAAATCTTTTATTTCATTTCATTGTCTCTATAATCGTGTCGTATTGCTAAACGGGATGTTAGTGCCTGTGTCCCGAGACTTTTGCTATGCTGCTGTGTTCGTTATTTCTTTTCATCTCTCCCACGTGGCCGTGCCGGCCGAATGATGCGTGTTTTGGGACATTAAATTTGTTTTGTTTTATAACTGTACGCGTCGTAGCCCTCCCCCTGCCTCTACACCAGGCGTGGACCTATCGCTTGTCACCAGTCCAAACTTAATCTTCTCTTCTTTCAAAGCAATCTTTATTAACCTCGGAGCGGATCATTAATATTCTTTTATTACTCCCCCACTACGTGACACAAACACGTATTTTACGAAAGGTTTCGATTTCTACGTGCGGGCGCCATTTTTTATGGCCCTTTTAGATCGAACCTTGTCATTTCAGACATTCAATATACAGCTGCTTTGCTTTAGTGCACAGTGCCTTCTATGTTCGTATCGCTTTATTTCGCTGCCTCGTTGATCTTCTTTCTGTTTCTTTAATGTATTCCAGTTGTCTGTCGGCGGGCGTTTGTCTTGAGTTCCTTCCTTTTGTCGTACCCTTTTTAGCGCTGTTTTTATGATGATGAACGATCACTAACTACCCCGACTTACAACATTGTTTCTAAGTTAGTCATTCAGATCAAGCTTAGTACGCTTTATTGTTCAGTATGTTTGAAGACATCTTGCTCTTTTTCTTTCAGTATGAACATAAGTCAGGACATTTTTACAAAAAGTAGCCAACGTATTGTTATGTTTCTTATCAATGATCTGCTTGGATTGTGAAATGAATACATGTGCGCCCGAGGAAAACGACACTGTAGGTGAAATGTTTACACGAACAAATCAGTTGAAGTCAAAACGAAGTGCGTTTAAGCATACCTGAAACGGAAATTCCCGGTCCGTCGCTGGTCGACCCCCAGCTATACGTTCTTCAACACGCTGGACAATTCTACTTTGTGACGGTCCTGGAATACGTGAAATATATTTTAATGCGGAGATACACAACTACTTTAGAGAATATTCGAATTACTTTATTTTTATTACCTAGATTTTGCTAACAAACGGCACAAGTGCATGGGTAGGAATCTTGCCCTTATACTTACAAACACAATTCCAGTATTTGGAAATGAATTGCGAGCCCCACTACCAAGTCGAGTCCAACAAATGCTTAGGCAAACAAGCAGTCTTCCTGTCGAACGTGCTGACAGCTAGGCAGCAGTCTGCTCAAATACTTTTTTTTACAGGAAGAGTGATTTATTTTACTTGTTTATTTTTTTAAATATTGTGAAGAAAAGCAAAGTTAAATATTTTATATCCTCATTCAGTTCACACCACTCGACCAATAACTATTTTACCTAATGCAGCTACCC